AGCAAAATACGTTTATAAACCTTGAGGTTGAAATGTTCAGGTCACTAGAATAAACACTTTTTATTCGTCCTTTTTGCTGATGACACCAATTTGCTTTATGCCAATAAAAACTAAAATCACTTGAACTTATCGTCAATACTGAGCTATTTAAAGTGCTACTTGCATGAAAATGGTCTTATTTCAAAACTTCAAGCAATACAAATATATGACTCAATTATATCTATTAAAAACAATTGCGGGAAAATTTTTATTTTGGAACTATCCCACATCAGAGAAATTTTGATTCAAAAGATAGAAGAACAAAAGGATGGAATAAATGCGTCATCTACTCCAACATTTCTTGTACAAATCATTTAAGGATTTGTTTCAATATTTTCTTGAAATCTGTTGCTTCATGATTACTCAACATACCTCATTAACTCCTGTCTTTAATGTACATCCTTATCTTAAACTATTATATTGTCTTTTGGTGACAAGCCCATCTATCATATTTAAGCAAGCTTCTTCGCTTGCAAAAACGTGCGATCAGATTTGTTCGTTTTTTCTAGAAAACAACGAGATAGTGCGATCCCACTGTTTATTAAGTAATGGCCCCAGTAAGAACTATAGAAGCAAACGGCAAAGTAATGCAAGAAGGTGCTAATTGTGCATTGTATAATCCATCCATCCCATTGGTTCAAACAAGAAAATCTGCTATAATTTTACAAGTTAGCGCATTTTCTAATACTTTATTTAATATCTGATTCCGACTTCATGAAAGCTTTCTTTAGCTTCAATATTAAGGCAATTCTATGTGGGGAACATAGCAAATTAGAAGCTTCTTTTGGCTATTGTTTTGAGTGCTTATGATTGGATAAGAGGTTATATTACAAAAGAAACTTTGTTTCAAAATAGAGTTTATCCACGTTTTATTTCAAAAATGCGTTACCCATAGGTTGATATATAATCACTGTGAAAACCAAGACATTTGTATGTDGGGAARYWGCAATRCCGCAGAACAATAGAGAGTTCTACAGTTCTTACGCGCATTGTTACTTAAATCTAACGACCCTATGGGCTTAATGTACTGCCAAGCGGTGTTGAATCTAGTTATTGTGACCGAGTAACATAATTGCGATATCCGAAGGTCGTGGGTTCGAATCCCAGCGAGGTCGGGAAATTATTTTTTCCGAATTTATTCCAAAGGGTCTTTCTCCCGGAATTGCCTCTTTTTAAGCACTATAACTTTCTTTCATTTCTATATCGTGTCTATCATAGTGCCATGCGGTCCTTATATTCATATCTATAATTGAAATACTTTTAATAGTTAACATTAATAATAAAACATTTTATACAATTTGAGCGGAAAACAAGATAACTGTCGTACAATAGTTAACTATGGTTAAACTAATGATCATATTTTAGCATATGGTTTGACTTTCATAGCATTTGGCAGCTCCTAAAGGAGCTATTTTGAGTCTTAAAGAGGACTCAATCTTTTCGCCCAGCAAATAAACAATAATTTTTCATATCAAACTCAGCTTCAACCAATAATTCTTCATATCAAACTCAGCTTCAACCAATAATTCTTCATATCAAACTCAGCCTCAACCAATAATTCTTC